GAGAGAGAGAGAGAGAGAGAGAGAGAGAGAGAGAGAGAGAGAGAGAGAGAGAGAGAGAGAGAGGAACTAGTACCTGAGCGGGAAAGGAAGAGCTAAGTGGGCTAAGGAAGTAAGGGCAAGAATAAAAGCAGGAGGAGCTTCCGAACCCCATTGGATTGCGTTATTAGGAGTAGAGGAGGAGGAGCATATTGGACTCCTGCTGCTTCACACCAGTTGTGGGTGTCTACTACCAGTGGTCTGCCGTCTCACCCAGACTTGAACCACCAGCACACGGCCCCAGCCTTGCGGTCACCAGCACACGGCCCGACCGTGGGTCTCAGGCTGACACCATTACCATTTCGGAGGCCACCGATTCTTTTTTTCCCTACGGCGCCTTGGCCCCCCCAGCCCCAAAATCTGAAGTTGATGGCTGGGCGGGGCGAGGCGCCATAGGAAAAAAAACAAACTCGGCGGCCACCGAAGTGGTACCAGTTTCAGCCTGACACCTGGTGTACTGGTGGTTTAAGGTCGTGCATGTTCAGATTGACATCGGGGACTGATCATTTGGAAAATAAGAATGGGTGATAATTAACCAACGGGCCTAGCTCATTTGGTGCAACCACAAACTGTTGAAATATGAATCAGACCGAAGTTCGAATCCAGATTCAATCAGATGACCAGAATAAAAGAATTCTGAAGTACCTGGGGCCGGTCAGTTCAATGACGATATCCGAAGGCCGTTGCCCTTTTGAAAAAAAGAGAGGAAGAGGGGAAAAGAAAAGAAGATTGGGAACTACTGATAATTTGGAAAATAAGAATGGGTGATAATTAACCAACGGGCCTAGCTCATTTGGTGCACCCACAAACTGTTGAAATATGAATCAGACCGAAGTTCGAATCCAGAGACAAGCAGATGACCAGAATAACATAATTCTGAATTACCCGTCACCCTTTTGAAAAAAAGAGGGGGGGGGGGGGGGGGGGGAAAAAAAAAGGGAAGAAGGGGGAGAAAGTTGAAAGTGGATGGGGGCCAAATGGGGGAAAAAAAAAAAAAGGGGGGGGGGGGGGGGGGGGGGAGAGAAAAAAAAGGAGAGAATGGGTGATAAATTGATAATTGATTGGGCTCCAATTGGGGCATATAAGAAAGAAGGTGGGAGGATAAGTTGGATAAAGTAAGAAAAGAAAAAGTATATTATTAGAAAGGTTGGGACTAATGGTTTTGTTATTCTACCAAATCCGAAGAGTGAAAAGGCTGGGACTATAAGTGAAAGAATCCTGTCATTTTAATGGAAGAGTGCAAAGGCTGGGACTAATGGTTTTGCTATTCTACCCCCCCCCCGAAAAAAAAAGAAGAGCACAGACAGTGCGTGGTGGAAAAAAAAAACAAGAAAAACAGAAAAGGCAAATTCGAATATTTTCCGCGTTACCCATGTGGTGGGAACCGACAGTTTCCTGTAATTTTACAAATTTAAAATTCCTATATTTCCAGATTTCGTCCTCCAAACCCTAACCCCTAACCCCTAACCCCTGAACGCTAAACCTAAACCCTAAGCCCTGAACTAAACCCTAAACCCTAAACCCTAAGCCCTGAACTAAACCCTAAACCATAAAAGCCCAAACTCGGCAGTAGCTGTAGAACCTTAACCCCTGAGTAAACTCTCACCAACCCTAATCCCTAAACCCCGACGATTGCTGATTCGTGTGCAAATGATATCTGTTTGTGAACAGATCATGCGTTCAAACCCTGAGGGATACCTTGATAGGTTCGCCTGCTTTTGAACGAAAGGAAATGAAAAAGCTCTCATGGGACTATCTAAGGAGAAAAACCGATGAAAGTGCGCCCCATTTCCTAACATGGTCACCACGGAGGTTTTGGTGAACAAAGGAGCATAAAAGTGGGGTGGCTGGCATTTTTCGGAAGGTGGAATTCAGCCTGCCTGCACTTTCTTGGTTTGTTCAGGGGGCCTTTACCCTGTGCGGACTTTCTTGAGTTGTTCAGGGGCCTGGTCCAGCGAGCAGGCCAACGCCAACACCGCTGCTGGCCACCCATGTGCAGATCATGAGTTCAAACCCTTGTTGGGGGTTGGAGGGAGGGGGGGGGGGGGGGGGGGGCGAGGAACGATGAAATTGCTCTCCATTTCCTAAAGTGGTCACCACGGAGGTTTTGGTGAATGAAGGAGCACAGGTGGGTGGCTGGAATTTCTCGGAAGTTGGAATTTGGCCTGTCCAGACTTCATCTTCCTCCCCTTCTTCTCCTCCCCCTCTTCCTCCCCTTCCTCTTCCTCTCCTTCCTCTTCCTCCCCCTCCTCTCCTCCCCTTCCTCTGTGGCTGGTCAATTGAGAAATAAGAGAAATCACCTTTCAAACTCCTTTTCCTCCCCTTCTTCTTCTTCTTCTTCTTCTTCTTCTTCTTCTTCTTCTTCTTCTTCTTCTTCTTCTTCCCCTCTTTTTTCCTCCTCGTATATATCGCCGACTTCTCATAGTCAGCACGATCTTGTTTCTCGATGATGATGGGGAGCGCCGACAATTGAGATGTGACAACATAACCAGAAACAACTCCTCTGGGTCCTTTTCGTCTTCTTTCTTGTTCTCCTCTCGCTGCCCTTCTTCTTCTTCTTCCTCTTCGCCCTCTTTTCATCCTCCTACCCTCTACTTCTCAAAGTGAGCACCATCTCGTTTCTCCATGATGATGAGGAGCGCTCACTTTGACAAGAGAAGGGAAGTGTCCTCTCTTCTCTTCATCACACGCAGGAGAAAGGTTGCAGGTTCGATTCGGTCACCATCTCAAAGAGCAGGAGAAAGATGGATGAGGAAGAGGCAAAACGTGGTAGCTCGTCCTTTGCGACATCCGTTGAAATTGGAACGAGACCGAGAAGATTAGCATAGTCCCTGTGCAAGGATGATGACACGCATAAATCGAGAAATGGTCCAAAAAAAAAAACGTGGTAGCTCAGTAGGTTAGAGCACTGGCATTGCAAGGGGAAGGTTGCAGGTTCGATTCCGTCGGCCCTCATGCAGGTTCAATTCTGTCGACTACTCCCCCCACCCTGCGCATGTTTGGTTGGTCTTAGGCTGACACCCCAGGTACTTGCCCCCCAATCTGGCACAGTACAGACGAGCTGAGATGTTACTACGCACTTGGACCTGCCTGCCTGCCTGCGTGCCTCCTGCCCACCTGAGCAGGCAGCCACGCAGGGCCCTGCGAACCCGCTGCTGTGTCTGGTCCTGGCCCTTTCCATTCGTCTGTCTGTCTGTTTGTCTGTTGGTGTGTCTGTGTGGGATGTGTGGGATGATAGGGGGGCAAACTGCTGCCAGAAAAAAAAAGGAAGAGCTGGTATTTACGGGTGTCTTTTTTTTTTTGGGGTTCGACTCTCAGAGATGCCTAATGTGTCGCGAGCGGATTGCACCTGAGATTGATTGAGCCGTATTTCTGTTCTCCGTTGTGCAGTGGTGCAACTTGATGGGGGCACAGACATGGTGGTGAGCGGCTGATTTTACAAGGCACAGCTTTGCAATGCTCATTACTTATCAACGTCGCCGCCGGTAAGTACCCACTGTGGCCGACCCTGTCCTTTCGTTCACATCTTCCCTCTGCTTGTCTCCTCTTCTTGGTGTTTTTAAAAAGCAATTGAACATCGTTTACGATTTGTCGTATGTTAATTTGTATGTGCTTGCTCTAGTGACACGATGGCCAGGGTTGTAACTTGTAAGTGTGTGGCTTACTCGGACTCCTGTGCTGACACTTCCGATGCGTGCTGTGAACGTTGTGCTGAAAACCTGCACGCATACAAAACTTTGTAATAATGTGCTTGCCGGTGAGAAGCAACCGGACTGATGCCCACCCAGAATAGATGGGGCCTTCTCCTTGAAGGGGGGAAAAACAAACAAACAAACAAAGAATCTACAGTGCCACTGTGAGGAAAAATAATTGTGGTACCCTTCCCCACCGAACCCCTCTGCTGGGTCTGGGCGCTCTCGATTTTGGCCCGCTACTTGTAGACAAGGAAAATGAACAGTGCAGGGGGCCGTTGGAGTGGTGGGTTAAGTGGCTGTGCCACACACCCATCTGTCACAAACCTTCACCCCTTGGAGTACGAACGAGCATGTTAAGGATGATGCAAATTCATCATAAAGAAGGTCCAAGGCGAACGCACCAAAGAAGGTCCAAGGCTAACGTGCCAAACAGTTTAAACCACCAGTACCCCAGGGGGTCTTAGGCCTCCTCTGGGGAGGCTCGGAGGCAAATGCGTATGGACCTGTGCGGCACACCGATTCAGCCTCCGCATTAACGCATAAAAACGCGGTAGGTATTGGTGGTTTAACAGGGAATTCATCATAAAGAAGGTCCAAGGGTAACACGCATGTTAAGGATGAATGCAAATTGTCACAAGGTGAATCATGAAGAGTGTCGTAGCTACGCTCTGCTTCAGTGAAACCCAAGGCAAACGTGTTAGCAAGTACGGTACAACTCACTGCTCGCTGACTGCGGCCGTAACTCACACTGCTGCAAGGCTGAAGCCTCTGCATCTCTAACGAGCATGAGCATCGCATTGGACATTTGCTCACCTATGACATAGAGTAGAGCCAATGAGTAGACAGTGAAGGAATGATCATCAAGGAGGCCAGCATCCATGCCCACACCTGACGTTCCAACATGCGGAAGAAGACCATGGATGTTTGGAATCCAAACCAAGGGAGAAGGTGGGGGAAGATGGAATTGACAAAGAGTTCAATTCTCCCCCTTCTTGGCACCTCACTCCATGTCTGAACAATTTTGTTGCATCGCACAATTTCACTAGATGAGAACGCAGCTAAGAGCAGCCTCCCCCCGCTAGACTCAGCTGATCCCCATTGCGAAGCTTTGGTATTAACAAGAGTTCAATTCTCTCCCCCTTCTTCGAACCTCACTCCTTGTCTGAGCATTCTTGTTGCATTGCACAATTGATAGTGTTTGCCTCCAAGGACCACAGGATCGTATTCACTAGACGAGAACGCAGCTGAGAGCAGCCCCGCTCCGCTAGACTCAGCTGATCCCCATTGCGAAGTTTTGGTCTGAGAAAGAGTTCAATTCTTCCCCCCTTCTTCGAACCTCACTCCATGTCGGAACAATGCTGTGGCATTGCACAGTGTAGAGTGTTTGCCTCCGAGGACCACAGAACCGCATTCACTACCGTCTTAACCCGAATAGAACGGCCGGTCATCATCTCTGCATCTGGAACGAAAGTTGTGCCAAATACAGCTATAATGACCGGGCATTCTTTTCGGGTGAAGACGGTAGACGAGAACACAGCTCAGAGCAGACTCGCTCCCCTGGCCTCAGCTGATCGCCGTTGCGAAGCTTTGATCTGTCTAACACCACCTTGGCGCAACGTGAGTCCAATTCACTAGGAATCACTGGATGCTACCTTCTTCACCCGAATAGAACACCGGTCATTATCACTGCATGTAGACTGAAAGTTGGCCCAAATACACAGCTATAATGACCGGGCGTTCTATTCGGGTGAAGACATCAGTAACACTGGGCTCCTTGTTTGACTGTCATCTGTGACAGACTTCACGTCTGCTAAGCCCCATACAGCCCTCTAGGGAAGAACCACCTCCTCCCCCAGGGGGAGGGTGACACCTTCCATCACAGCCAGCTTGAAGAGAATTACAATGCTTAAAATGGCCCAAGGTTTGTGGTCCCACTGGGTCTCGCAGCAGCGCATTGGATGCTGGTTTAGGCCAATAGCTCCTAGGGTAGCTGGGCCTGGTTACTGTAGGCATATTTCCATACTTTTGTTTATCTTCGTGTCCTTCGTGGTGTTTGGTTTTCATGTCCTTTGAGTCTGCAAAGTGCGACCATGCCCTCCGCCTTCATGACCAACGAAGGAAACAAAGTTGCTTTTTTTTTTTTTTTTTTTTAAAGGGTGAGGGCCTCGAGATATCATCATTGAAATGACTGGTCCCTCGTAATTCAGAATGGTTTTATTCTGTTCATCTGACAGTATCTATAACAGAGTTGAAGTGATACAAAATACAAAATTGCGTGCATACCCTCAGTGTAGAACAATATCTGCCTCTCCCTGTGTCGCTCACAGAGTTTACAATGTGATGCATCCTTGGCTGAACAGCTCGGCAAGTCCGTGCAGGGGCTTACACCACTGCAGATCGAGGGGTCACTGCGTGTGGATGCACCTTCCTTCGTGCCTGTCTTTGCATTGAACCAGCATGAAAAAGGAAAAGAGAACAGAAGAGTAAAGCCAAACAAAAACTAAGTCCCCCTGTTTATCTCATGCTTCTTGCATTTCTGCCTGCTACTTTTGCTGATTTGCTTTGTGTTTGTGCTCCAATATGGTAGGTCTTGGCGAATCGACAACGCATTTATTTACTGTATTGGTTGGGTGTGTGACTCTTTGTGCGGTTGGGTGCCAGCAATCATGTTTCTTGTGTGGGAAGTGATGTAGGCATTGCAGGCGCTAGTAGTCATATGAGAGGAGAGAAGGAAAACAATGACACCTGGCAGAGGCCTTCGATTTGCGATATGGCGGAGCAGAATGACCTCGTGACGGGTGACAGCGATGACGGGCGCGCGGGAGCTGTGACCTTTGTAAGTGAACATCAAGAATGTGAAGGGCCCAAGTTGAAAGAGAGGGAGGAGGATGAGCCTGCGGCTACAGAGAGGGATTCATGCCATACGGGTGATGAGACAACATTGTCGGTCTCCACAATTCCCGGGACCACAAGGCCAACTGATGGTCCAAGAACGTTAACGTCCTGCCAAGCAAGGGACGATATGCGCTCGGGAAATCTGCCGCTCGGCAAAACCTCTTTTCGTGGAAGGAATGATGTGCGCTCAAACCGTGGTAAGAGCAAGGGTTGCGCGGTCGGGAACCGGCAGCGGAAGATCTCCAGTTTTTTTCTGAAAGGTGCTGCAAGTGAGCAAGTGTCATTGCCCGTGGCTGGGAATGATAAGTCTGGCCGTGGGTATCGCAGGATTATCTCCGAGGGCTGCTTCAAACAGTCAGTGGGGTCCAAGTGGAAGTCAAAGGAGGGAGAAGGGAAGGAGAATGGCAATTTGAGCCATGAGGAGGAAGAAGTCGGCAAACGAGCAGATCGCTTGGGAGAGGGATTACAAGATGCAGCGGCAAGCACGACTATGAATTGCCTGGATTGGCCGGAAGACGAGGGGAAGAAGTGGATGAAGAAACGCAACAATGTCTTTGAGATTTTGAAACTTCATTCGAAATCCTCTGCAATCAAGAGAACCGGCATCAGGGAGCTGGCTCCAAACAGGGTTTACCAGGAACAATATTTCCTTGATGCAGGGCAGTCTGATTTTACCTGCACAACATGCCATGTCTGTGGACTTGTGTATGCAAGGGGAGTTGAGCAGGATGAAAAGGTTCATATAAGGATACATCGCCGTCATCTGGAAGGAATTCGATTTGAGGTAGGAAAAACAGCAGATTGCGGGCCACTTGCTGTCTCTGGACCCCACCGTCTCCCTTCCCCGTGCCTGTACGTCTCTGTACCTCCTGCTCTGCTCTGCTCATGTGTGCGCATCGAAATATGAGAGCAGGAGGTACAGAGACGTACAGGCACGGGGAAGGGAGACGGTGGGGTCCACAGACAGCAAGTGGGCATTTTGCCATTTCTGTGTTGCATGTGTCCAATTCGCGATGTGTCAAAGGTTTTCTCGGCTTGCGTGAAGTGGTGAGAAAGGGTATCTGGTGTGCTGCGTGTTGGATCACTGGGGAGTGGCAGTGTTATCATCAGCAGTGATCTCAGCTTGCATGGACTGGTGAGAAGGTTATCTGGTGTGCTTCTTGCTGGTTCAGTAGGATGGCTTTGTTGTCAGAAGTAATGAACTTATCATCCACTGAGATGGTGGCAAATGATTGTTTGTCATGTGGACTGATATCTACCTACCTTTCCGTGGCTACGTGCAAGGAGATGGGCATATGTGGCCGTGCCTTAGTCCTGAAGTGTGTGTGTGTGTGTGTGCGTGCGGAAGTGTCATCCCGCATAATATGACATGTTGGCGGTATGATACGGGAACCGCATCATGGTAAAGCTGCGAAATAATATATCGGCGCACCTTAAGAACAAAAAGTAGTAGGCGGCGGTGCAGACATGTCCTGTACTGGAAGGTGGGGAATGACTATGGCGGACTACACGAGCATGCTCAGGATTCAAAAACTTGTAGGCGTGCGTGGTGCAGACACATCCTAAACTGCGAGTTGCAGAAAGACTATGCTGGACTACACAAGCATCCATGAACTTGACGGGCGAACTGGAACACACGAGGTAACACATCAAACAGATATCACGAGATGGGGAAAAGAAAGGACAGTAAGGCAAAAGGCAGGGAAGCCACTACAACATACTGCAGAAAGGCACAAGGACTGGGGGCCACGGGGGAGGCGGGAGGGCAGAGGGTAAATAAAACGCACAAAACAAGGAAAGACGGAAGAAAAGTGCAAGTATGAAAAGATAACTCAAGCATAAAACAACAGGCAGCAGCAAAAGACAATCTGGAGGGCATTGGGGAGGCGGGAAAGGGCAGACGTCACTCAAACACACAAAGCAGGCAAAGCAGAAAAAAAAAACACAAGTCCCAAAAAAAGCAAAGACCGAAAAAAAGGCCGTCCACTCGGGCCTCCCAGCCATAATTGGGGGGAGCGTGCGTGTGTTTCCTATGTATCTACTATTGACTTGCCGGGGGAAAGGAACCGGACTGTTGCCCCCCAGAATGGTAGGAGCCAGAACCAGGAGGTTCTGTTTTATTTAAAAAAAAAAAAAAAAACTCATGATGAGAGATTGTTTCGTCCTCTATCACAGGCTACATAATGAGTGGAGCCTGGATTCAGATACTGTAGCTTCCATGGCGTCCTGTTCTTTCTTGTTTTTATTGTTTATACGACAGGCTTAAGCAGTAGATCTGAGAGGAAAGAAGAAGGAAAGGCAAGCTGACAGTCAATCCTTCACGCAGGTGGAGTAATCAATGCTGTTCAGGGTTCCTTCGGCCGGACGGAAGGAAGCGTGAGTGGGTTCATGATGTAATATTTTTCTGACTTGCCGGTGGAATAGGAACCGGACTGATGCTCCCCAGAATGGAAATGGAGCCTGGGCCATAAGGACCTGATTTAATATAAAAAAAAAGATTGTTTCGTCGTCGGAGTTGCACTGACTCATAAGGAGGCTGAACCCTCAACAATCTGTGGAATCCCCGTATTGATCGTTTGGGTCATGAACCCTTTGACCCTTGTTGAAGGCAGACTGTCCCACCAACGGAACAAAGCAGTGGGCGGCAACCCAGCGAAGCACCAGGCAACGCTGCACAGTCAACACAGCTGCTCAACGCCAAAGACGACTGTATGGAACTACATGGCAAGTGGACGAGCAGCACAGCACCCATGGAGTGAAGCACAAGGCAACACAAGCACGGCAGCCAAACGGCACAACACACAAGCAAAGGACGCGGAAGGAACGGCAAGTGGATGGGCAGCAAAGCAGCATCGCAGGGAAGCATAAGGCAACACCAACACCACAGCCACACCACCCAGAGAACACAACAGTTTACAAAGATCCACATGCAAAGAAAGCAGGACGCGCAGCAAGGCAGCGGTGGAGCGCAGACGAGGTTGTCCACACATCCAACATGGAGCAAAGCGGCACATCACCTACTTGCATCATGATTTAACCCTGCAGACTTTTGGTTCCCACCACCGGTTGAGCCAGGGAGGTACTCCGACAGACTTCTATCATCACCCGTGGAAGACGCAAACATCCCGAACTGAGCAGTCCCCTTAAGAGTGTTGAACGCACTCCAAACGAGGAATGACCGACTGTTTGGCACTGCTTGAGGGTGCTCACTTAGACAGGCAAAAGTTAGAAAAAATCAAAGGAAGAAAAAAATCAAAGGAAGAAAGAAAGACACAGAGAATGGAGAGAAAGACATACACAAACTGATTGTGTGTGTGTGTGTGTGTGTGTG